ATGAAGCAAAAGTTGTTGCTGAAATTATAGGAGCTGTTTACTTAGTTTTAACTGATAGTTTTAATTTAGTTTTGAACAATTATCTTTATATGCTTGGTCTTATTAAGAATCTTCTTTCTATTTCTGTTTGGATAATGAAAGTTTTGAATTTCTATAAGAAGAGGAAATTTTAATGTCTATGAATAGTTCTTTCCATAATGTTGGCACATTATCAAATCGTTTGTATACAATTGTTCAAAATGAATCTATTTTAAATATACAACAAGAAAGCAAACAAAAACAAAATATCAAGATAACACACAATTGTGGCATGCTAGACTTGGACATATTTCTAAGAATAAGATTCATAGAATTGTTTTTTCGAGGTTAATTCAAGTGAATGGCTTTGAGGAGATTTTCACATATGAGTCATGTTTAAAGGGTAAAATGACTAAATCACTTTTGTAGGACAATCAGAGTGTGCTACACATCTCCTGGATTTGATCCATTCAAATGTGTTTGGGCCACAAAGTGTTAGTACAAGAGAGAACTATTCTACTTTATTATCTTTACTAAAGATTATAGTCATTTTGGGTATGTGTATCTAATGAGACACAAGTTTGAAACTTTTGAAAAATTCAAAAAATTTAGACTTGAAGTAGAGAAACAAATATGTCACAGTATAAAAGTCATACGATATACCTTATATTTTGCCAATACACATATAACAGAACGGTTGCTGGTAATCAAATATACAAGCCTACCACGTTAGCTCCACGGGATAGTCTAGCACCACCCCTACTATTCAGGAATACAGGCCAAGATGCATCTAGTCTAACGCCTACTACCGTTAGTTACAATGTTCTACAGTTCAATACTCCCTTAAAATTTTTTCTCAAGTTTAACAAAAACAGTATACAATCTTTCAATTGTTCAAACATAACAATAATAGAAATCAATTGGTTCAAGAAATTTCCAACCAAACAAATCAAATAATGACATATATGTCCCTTGTGAGCTTTTATAACACATTGCATTTCAAATTTCAAGATAACTGAATTTATAAAAATAATTCATGACAATTCAATATTTAGCAGATATGAAAAATAATGAATCATACAAATACATATTACAACTCCAAAGACTAGAGAATCACGAAACCCAAGATTCAGCGATATAGCTCCACAAGAGTCAAACAATCAATTTAGAAAAGACAAAATCCTTATTGTAGGATGTAATTTATCTCATAATTAATTGAAATTCAATTCCCATACAAAACCCTACTATACCCTTAGATTTTCGTGTTCAAACCCATATCAAGAATTTTAAAGTCTCGAACCAATCGAATAAATCACATCCCTCATACTAAGGTCTTGAATTGTGCTCATAAAACATAAAACTAGTGCCACGAGACTCTCAAAATCGGATTCAGAACACCCAAAAACCTTAGGAACCATATTAATCTGGCCAAAACCTCTAAAGTTAGGCCGAGCTGGCCAAAAACACTAATCTAGAACATTAGCACGCAAATCGAGGCCAGTTCACTTGAACCGGACACCCAAAATTTCTTGAACCCACTTGGTTTGATAGGTATTTTCTTTCCGAATCTAGAACCGGTCCAACCAACCCCAAATCCGAGTTTCGTTTGACCACTGAACTGGCTGGTCAAACATTAAACCGTTCCGGCCGGTTCAGTCAACTCTCCAAACTCTAATTCAAGAAATCCAGGTTATGCTGTCCTCACTATCCCCAAATCAGCCTTATCCCTAATTTCCTATCCTCCAGAATAGCTTATCCTTAATCTTTGCACCTGGGTTGACTCACTGAGTCAACCCAGACAACCTTCTGCTGGGCTGAGTCAACCCGCGGGTTGACCCAGCCCAGTCTGGCCTGCGGGCTGCAACCCAGATGGGCCAAGCCCGAGCCCGATCCAACCCAGTACAGGACCTGGATCATTCCAGGTCCTGTCTCCTTCGCCCGACAGTCGAGACCCCAGCCCCAGACCCTATTCTTTTTCCCCTCTAGACTGGCCCGCGGCTCAAGCCCGCGGCCAGTAGATCGGACAGGCCGAGCCCGAGCCCACGGCTCGGGCCGACCTCCATAGGGGACCCAGCTCAACTGTGTCCCTTCCCTGTCACTCGACTGGGCGTAAACCAAATATCCGGGTTTATAACAGACCTGGATTCTCAAATCTTCAAATTAATCTAGATTCTTCACTTACCCAAGCTGATCGAGACTCCCAACCACGAATTTTCCAGCTTCCAAGCTCCACTGTAGACCCTAATCGGTGAATTTCAGCCAAAAACCAAGGATTTCCTTCCTGTCAAGCTCCGGAGTCCGCACCTTTTTCCAGCTCAAAATCCTTCCTACTCCCTCAGTAATCTGGCCAATTTCTTGTATATTCAGGCTCGTTTTTCCATTACATACAAAGCTTTAATCTACTTTTGTGTTGTAATGCTCCGATTGGAGCAAATTTGCTTCTACACCCTCAGTCGGTTTCCGGCCAAAGGTCCCCTTCCTTCTTCTTCTTTTTTTTTTTTTTTTCAGTTCGGTCCCCCCCCCCCCCCCCGATTTTGTTTTGTTCATTTTAGTCCTCTAATTTCCAAAATCGCCCCCAAACGTTTTAATTAGTGCAAGATGGTCCCTGACAAAAAAAAAAATACAAATTGGGACATTACAATGTCATTTTACGGTTTCAAGAGGAACATATCTCTATTTTTGAAATCAAAATCTCAAAAATATTTTTTTAAATTATATTTTGAAATTGTTTCAAAAACACATGCTCAAAAAATCGAAACATTTGTTCTTGAAGCTAAACATAACTTTTAAATTTTACTCAATTTTTAAAATAAGTTACGCCACTTGTATTAAAAAGAATTATTATATATAATATATTTTATTATATATTCTCTTATATATTATATTGTACATTTTATTATATTAACACATATCTAATATACATTATTATATTATATATACATAATATATATATATATATATATCATATTTAAGTATTTTTAGCACACATTTGTTACTTTGTGAATATAATTAGAGCAGTGCCATTGCATATTTTCTCAATTGATTGTGCTGCAAGTCTAACATGTTGCCGAGCTTTAACTATTCATATCTGAAACTGCACTAAATACAAGATAAGAACACTTAATAGTTTTTTTATTTATTTCAACTTTTAATATTTTATATTTTAAATAAATTTTATAATTTTAAAATATATCATAAAAATATGTAATAAAAAAATATTTTAATTACTTTTAAAATATAATGCTTAAAAAAATCTCAATTCTAAATACACGTGTACTTGAAGTTGAAAGAAAACAGCCCTCCATTTTTTCTCATTCTTTTTTCTTCTCTGTGGGCAACGTTGTGCCACGCATGAGAATAGCAAAAGTTGTGCGAGAAAAAGCAAATACTGAGATAATATAAAATGAGAGGGTCATCCATGTGTAAAAGCAACTTTCATTTATTACTTTACTTGTCAACATCAAGGTGACTTCCTAAATTGGATTGTGATTAGATGAACAGTTAACTTTTTAGAGTTAGCCGTTTATTCCTATCGTCTTAAACTTAGCTGTCTATCTTATGGTGTTAGCCGTCTAGGTTAGTTTGATGGCTAACTCTATGCGTGAAAGACTAACAGCTAACTCCCACATGTCATCCACGTGTCGTCACGGCAGTATTGAGATCGGCATTTAACTCAAAACGACTAATCAAAATTTTCCTGGGCGGTGAGGTTGAGATGAAAATACAGTAGAGTGACCATTTTGAAACTTGTGCAAGTATGGTGGCCATTTTGAGAATTTTACTCTAGTCAGGGTGACCATTTATGATGTTTAGTTAATTTTTAATTACCAATAAATTAAGCTATAATTTTTTGTTAGATATTAGAATAAATTTTCAAATCGCGGATAATGGTGTTTCGAATAATTTTTTTTTTCTAAAATATTGAGAGACAAGTTAAATATATGGTTTATAATTGTATATTCAGAGGGACGGAAATGGAAAATGGAGAAGTATGTTAATTAGAAACACCACTTTCCTCCATTACCCCCTAACATTTAGTCCTCCTTTCGAAAGAAAGAAAAAAAATACTCCCATTAAGTTTTAAAATTTCTTAACTGCACTTCAAAGTAAACCTTAAATAGGAATTTTAAGATTTTTCAAACCCTTCAGTTTAAAATAGAATCGTCCAGCGCCACCAATTGCGTCATCCAACACATGCCCACCAAGAGTCTCTTTCTCTCGAGTCAACACGCACGAGTTCAATGGCTGTATTTTTACGCAAATACACCTCCTGGCCCTCAAAAAGTAAAAAAACAAATATAGTGAATGCAGAATGTAAAGGAGGATGTATTTTGGCAATTCATATTAAACTTGCTCCAGCGACTTTTCCATTAATGGTTATTCGTAATTCATATAATAACTGAAGGTATTTATCTTTAAATAAATTATAAGTTGATTTAATTCAGCTAGCAAGCAAGAGATCTTAAATTCAAAAACTATGTAATTGCAAGGCGTTGTTTATTGACAAAGTTTTTTTAACAAGGGTCAATCTCCATATTGGAGACCTTCAAATAAACACAAGCTTACTGCAATCAGCAGAATTTGAATAAACAAGGTTCATCAAGCCAAACGCGAATTGAAATAATCAAAATATGAATTTACATCAAAGCAAGGTCCTGTATTCTAGATATAAAACAAGCTATAGCATACAGTCTGATCTAGCAGGCAACCTCCTAAAGAAGTTGAAAGGCAAAGCAGAAGCTTACTCCGCAACCTTGGATGTCTCATCACGTAAAAGCCGGTGAAAAGCACCACCACTTGGAAAGGGGTAACATAGAGCGCCATGGCAGCAAACAAGCAGAATGTCATAAACAAAGCCGTCGCTCTCGGATCCCTCCAGCTCAGAGGCTGTGAAATCTCTCTAACTGAGTAGCCATGTCGCCCACCACCGTCTGGATCCTCCAGCGATGCTTCTCAGGCGATCGTACCTTCTTCTTACAATGTCACTTCCCTTGGGTTGGAAATGGATCAAATTCTTCATCAAGATCATCGGGGCCAATGGCGTGAGCGTGAGAAAGCTTGATGTCCATATGAGGAGGGTGCCTTGGCTTCCACCGGTAGTACCATATTCCAATTACAAAGAGGTAGAGGAATATTGTGGGCAGTATCAGTTCAGGATATAGGACCAGTATGATGAACAGGAAATGAACTAAAATGGTTGTGATAGGATTCTTCCACTGCAATCTGATCAAACCACGTTCCAATTGCAATCACACTGCTCATAACAAACATAATCCTGTGAAAGTTAGCTTTGCTCTTCCTCACACTCCATATGTTGATTCCCACATCCAGCAGATACTCCACAACTTCTTTCTTTAAGGGTGGCTCAGCCCGGCCCAGCCTTGCTGAGACGATCTGATTAGCGTGGTACCTGAGCATATCGATCTGGATTATGGACAAGGGATGGACATAGTGCATTTTTGGCAACAATGGTTGTGAATACTTGTACAGCATATTGAAGAAAGACGTGCACGAGAACCTCACAGCCAACTGAATCTCTCCCATCTTTTTCACTCCTGAAGTTTGTAGGACGATCAGAGGATAGGAGTGTGTATAAACTCGATCGCTTTCAAGCGTGGACAACCTAATCCTCACCTTCCCAATTCTTGAATCCTTCCCACCACCATGAAAATGGCCATTATGAAATACCCCAATCGTGATTACAGTGCAAGGATCAAAAACCTCCCAACTATATTGTTCATTCCATTTTGGGGTACCACAGTCTATGATTGTCCTGTTCTGACCCATTTTTGCCCGTACTTAGCCACACAAAAGGCATCTGTGGTGCCTCGACCGTCTATTGTCCTCATTGGTGACAAGCCAGTGGCGCTTATGATCCCCAGTTCCAAAAGACCAATGCTGGACTTCCACAGTGGCCTTGCTGTTGGCCTGAGATCACTGCTGTAGTGTGTTGCTTCATCCAAAACATGATACCCGCCTTCCAAACAGATCCGAAGATGGATCTTACTAGCAAATTTGATCTCCTTCTTCTCGCCCTCAATAATGGTATGTTTCTCTAAATTATGCCACCTGGCAGGCACAGCCTTATTGTCAAACCTCCTGGGGATGGTGTGCAATGGGAGCACACACTTGCCTAAGATTTCATCTTTGTTTGCTCCAATCCTATCTTCTACACTTATCACCAGAGGATCCTCAAATGGTTCAGCGGTCACAAACAGCAAATCCTCATTCCACATTGCGCTAACACTTTTTAATATCCTAGTCTTCTGTGCATGATTCCTAGGATGACCCTCACAGCAACTTCAGGGATCCTGGCCTTATCACTAGGAACTAGATCCTGGCATTCTATCACATTGACCCTAACATACCAAAGCTTGGGGGCTAAGTAAACCTTGCCTCGGATCTTTGTTATCCCTTCCCCACTCACAGATGCTGCATCAGAATGCCAGGCTTCAGAAAATGCCTCATCCGCCTGAGTTCCTTTCCAATAGCTAGCATGATCTCCCCTTTCTTGATCTTCTCTCCTTTCTTGTCCTCCAACCTATACCACTGGGGTGCCAAGGGACTATCTGGTGGAGCGCGTCTTGGGACTTCACTGAGATCAAACTGGATCCTGCCAATGAAGTCATCCAGCACCACATCCTTGTCCTTCACCACAATTTTCAACAAACGACGCTGCAACCGTTCTTGGAGAAAGCAAAGATCTGGTTCCATTCGGGATTGGACTTCTTCTCAAAATGCCTAGTAACCCCTTGTAGTTTCCATCTTAACCTCAACATATGGATCGCAACTTCCGGTCACATCTTTCCCGGTAGTTCCCTCGCTTTACCACACGAACATAAAGATACTCCATCTGCTCAACGAGGTCATAGGTGTACGTGAGCTTATCACCCATCATGATCCTTGACCCGCGATCTTGGGCGATGTCTCCTTAAGAGAGAACTCTTCAGGTAATACAGGCTTCATTTTCCTTGTTTACACTGAGCAGACCGAATCAAAAACTGTCAACTGGTGGAAGGAAGACTCACGCCCTGGAACACATAAGGAGCGTACAAAATTACATTCATCATAGTGTAACGGAAGACAAAACATAATTCAGAACTAAGAATTTCCGTTTACAATATACACTTTTTGAAAAAAATAATATTAAACTTTTGGGCTGTATTCAGACTAATAAAAGCAATTCTTTTTCTTTTTTTCCTTTAAACGGGGAAAACAGCACCAATGTTGTGATTGAAGAACTCTGATCAATTTCTAGTATTTTTTTGCCGGATTATTTTGATCAAACAGTCATCATGGGTTGAGAATGAACCTGCAGATAATAAGAACTTAAGGATCAAATAGACCTCATAGGAGCCGAATCAATCTTGTTCAGACAGATTTTTAGCCAATTCAAGTACAAGCAAACTCGTCTTTGTAAGAACCTCTGATTAAGCATGAAAAACTGCAGATTTCAAATCAAGTGAAATGATTAAAATATAGCAAGAAGGCCGAACAAATTAACAAAATTAAAAAAAAAATTATTCCATTTTTTTGCTGAGAATGATTCCAGGTATGCAGTATATAAAATTCTGCAGCAACCCGAACATAAATTTAAATCTTTTTCTCACACTTTCTCAGAAAGGAAACAGTCGGAGAACATATATAACCGGGAAAAAAAAAACGGAAGGAAGAAAGAAATTACGGGTTTCTCATAGATTAGCCGGTATGTTGAACCAACCATAAGACAGGTAAAATTTATGCCATCCAATAAAATCAAAAGCGAGAGAATGGGATCAATGTAAGAATTAAACTAGAAGTCACAACCCATGCAAAAACCTTCCAGGCACTGTTCAACTTAGATATGCTTCATCCTTAAGTTTAGATACAGAAATTACATGCCTGCGTGTGTGTGCCTGTGTTGGGAGGGAGAGAGAGAGAGAGAGAGAGAGAGATGAAGGATGAACTGATTAACAACCTGATGAAATTAGCAGTATAGAAGACAGGTTGGGTCAGTAAGTTTGTTCTGAAAATTAAATGAAGCAGAAGAACAAGGAAATAGGACAGAATATTGGGATTTACCAGCGCAAGTAATCTTTTAGGACCATGACAGCTTGTTGAGCTTTGACCCGCTACAAAATTCTTGAATCCAATTATTTATATATTATAATATCGAAATGTTATAAAATCACGAACAAATTCATTAAAAGGAAAGTGAATTATATATTTCTTCGACTCATTATTGTTACTAATTGATGATTCACAAATCTAATTTAATTTGGCTTTTGAAGAAAATTAATTGAGTAAATTAATTTCTAGTGGTGGGAGAAAAATCCAGTCCTTGTACACTCACACGTCAATCATCCCATTGCAATTGCCGCCCCTTTTTGGTTAAACAATAAGAAACCATGGTTAATTTAGAAAATTACGTACAGTTGAACTTTCGCATTAGAAAGAAGAAGGAAAAAAAGAAAAGAAAAGAAAGAAAACTGAAGTTGGTTGGGTGGGAGAGGAAAAATATAAAGGGCAAGAATGAAGGTTGTTGTCAACTACACATTTATCAGAATAAATAAGTAAAAGATATCTGCAGCTTGCCAAAGCTGTAGCGGTTGGATACTTTATCTACTTGGGCACGTAAACTATTTTATTGCCTGAAAATTTTTTCTTTGAATTTTTTATTTTTACTTTTTATTTAAATATATATTTTTTGACTTTACTTGTAAGACTAACAAAAATTATTGGCTTGAATATTAGGCTAATCCATTCAATGCTTTGCTAGTTCCATTGCAACATGAATAATTAAGCTAAAACCTGAAGTTTATTCAGAAAAAGGTTAAAGAAAAGAACCTTGAGTGAGCTTCTCATGAAAACTTTTGGCTTAACCTAAAACCTAATAAATCACACTATATGATTTGGGTTGTTTTCATGGGTCCAAGACCAACTCTAAACTCAACCAATAATTTATGGTTTTAAAGATTCTGTCCGGTGAGAACCAAAAGAAGGCCATAGAGGAAGTCCTAATCCTCTTCCAAAAAAAAAAAAAAA